TTAAAACAAATTAAATTTACAATTCTGTCAGGTTCTCTCTTTTTATCAGAATTTTGTGTGATGTGCCTGCATTAACCTGAGTGACCTTTTAAAGTGGAGAAACTACATGTTTTGTTTTTAGATGTAACGGAGGCTTCACCCCTTGATGCAGCTGTTCCAGGTTCGAGTCCCGACCCTGGTGACCTGTGCTGCATGTCTTCCCCCCACTTACTGTCTCCCTTCTTACAAACAACAAAAATAAAGGCAACTAGTGCAGCAAACAAATTACTCATAATTTAAAATGCAAAAGAACATATGTGATAATGGATCTGTTACTTTTAATAAAAGTTCATAATCTGCTTTCAGTAAAGTTGAAAACAGTATCTTTGTTTTTAACAAATACAAATAACAGGCTTATTTCTATTCTACTGTTTAATACATATTTGCAGTGCAGAAAGTACAGCAACCACACGTTGATGTTGCTTTTGTTTTCATTTGACAGCGTTTAGAATAACGCAAAATACTTGATGTACCGGGGAAAGGCTATGATTTGATGTGATAATAGTATAGGATTTAGCAGCTGTTAAACCTGAACTGGAACAAGCTTGTTTCCTATCTTTTATGATTGTAAACTAGCCGTTGGGCCATCTGGCCTCCTTCCTTTGCATCTCTTTTTGCTTCAACCTTCAGGTTAGGAAGAAATATCCACTCATCACTCGCTCCTCTGAGGCGCCTCATAGCTGTGGCTGTGGGTCTTCCAAACAGGTGCAGCTGTCCTGGCAGGATGCCTGACAGTTCAGCTCTGATCTGGCTATATAAGAGGCCTTTCTCACTGCAGCCCCCTCCTTAAGTTTTTGCTCACGACACACTGAACATGGCTCGCAAGGAAATTTGATCTGAAAAAGTTGCAGAGATTGTCCAACAATGATATAAATTGTGCTTTATATCGGTTATATAAACAAAATCAGAGGGCTGCTTAACAGATTACAAGACATGTCAAGTTAAAACACCCAGAACATCTCAGTTAAACCATTTCTGTTGTTTTATTCATTTTTCCAAAAATCAACTACATGTTTTCAATAGTAAAGAGCTTCAGCAGTACATCCCTCCATCAAATGCTGCACTTGAAGGAGAACCTAGATTGTTCTGTCACACTGAACATTTGAAACAATAGCATAGATGTATGAGCAAAACAGTTTTTTGAAAAATGAACAATGCGTACGAATGAACAGAAAAACTTCATATTATTGGGGCTGCACAGTGGTGCAGTTGGTAGCACTGTTGCCTTACAAGAAGGTCCTAGGTTCGACTCCTGGCTGGGGGTCTTTCTGCATGGATTTTGCATGTTTTCCCCGTGCATACGTGGGGAGAACATGCAATCCAGCTTCCGCCCACAGTCCAAAGACATTCCTGTTAGGTTAATTGGACTCTCTAAATTGCCTTTAGGTGTGTGAATGAGTGTGTGCGTGGTTGTTTGTGTGTTGCCCTGCGATGGACTGGCGACCTTTCCAGGGTAAACCCTGCCTCTCGCCCATAGACTGCTGGTGCAAAGCCATATTGGTACGGGAAAGGAACCATCCTCAAACTGTTTCCACAAAGTTTGGAGCATGAAATCCTGGAAGAGTGATGTGGCTTTCATTCTGTTCGTGGAACAGTGGACCTTTACTCTTGCTGAATTGCTGAAGAGGTCATGGGAGAATGCTTCTCCAGTCTATGTTTTGTGGATCTGGAGCAGGCTTATAACCGTGTACCCCAAAGTATTTTGTGGGGGGGTGCTGTGGGAGTATGGGTTATCTGGGTGGCTTTTAAGGGCTATCTGATCCTTGCTTGCTGTGTTTGAATTCTGTGTCCGCATTCTCTTCCAAGTCTGAGACAATGGTGGACTGATCCCTCAAGGTTGGGGGTCAGTCTTGGCCTCAAGTGGAGGAGTTTAAGTATGTTGGTGTCTGGTTCACGAGTGATGGTGGACAGACGGATTGGGGCTTCATCTGCGTCTGTAATATTTATAATAGTTTTTAGTTACACACTAGCTTAAAAGAGGTCATAAATATCATTAAATGAAACGAATAAGCTGTTAGCTGAGGGATTTATTGCAAATATTGAATAATTAATTCATTAATATATCATGGTGATTAAAAAGCCAAACAAAAATTCCTCCTCTGAAAGCAGTGATTCTAATGATTGAGCAACAGCACGTTTTTGAAAAGATTTGCTGGAGCGGGATGATGCACAAGTCAGAGAAATTAATTTACACTTTGTAAAAGCAGAAAAGATTGAAAAAAGCTTTTTAAAATAGAAAACAAAAAAAGAAAAGTAAAGGTAAAGGAATATATGAAAAGTAAAGGGACTGATTTGTGTAAAATAATCTTTTGAATGTGTGACAAACAGTGACTCTATTGAATTCCTTAAAGACATTCATAAACAAAGTGAAGAAGCTAAGGATAAAACCTTGCAATGACGTTTAAAGTGTGAATGACTAAATTTGACGATGATTCACAAGACATTTTTGCACACAGACATTTATAGTTTTAGAAACCTGCTCCAGAAAGTAGTTCAAATAAAAAAGCTGTGAAGTGACAGCTGTCACATGATTTTTTTTGTGCACAGATGGTTCACTGTGGCTAAAAAAGTACTCAAGGCGCAGTTACAAATCCATGAAGTGTCAGCTTCAAGTTCTTCGCCCCTTTAGTTAGGAATGAAACGTTAAGGAAGCCCAATGCACCAAATTTGTCAGTGGTGACATTTTTAGGTGTCCCAATAAACAAAACAACAAGCTTTGTAAGTAAGTAAGTAAGTAAGTAAAATTTTATTTATATAGCACCTCTCAAGACACAGATCACAAAGTGCTTCACAACACTAAAACAAATTACAATTGTGAATTATTGAAAACTAGAGTTCCTGCAAGTTCCACAAAGAAAAGCAAAGTACATCCTCTGTCTATTTTGGGTTTCTTAGCATATAATTATTAAAGATAACCTCAAGTGTACAAAGCCAGATGCACCATGTCATAACTTGCAGTATAAAGTAAAGATGAAATCAGTTTGGAAAGCTTTGTTAAAAATGAAGTACACCCCAAAAACTTTAAACAAAGTGGATTGCAGAAGAATTTACCCTCCACAAATGTTAATGCATATTATTGGGATTTATGTGACAGACCAAAACAAAGTAGCACATAACTGAAGTAGAGGGGAAATTATACATGTTGAGTCATCATCAGAGACATATTGCCTTTAGACGTGGCCTTACTATTAAACAATGTCCTGCTCTGTGTAATTTAATCCTACTGCGGCTGTTCTGTTTCTGGCCTCAGAGGTTGTTTAAAGAACATTAGAGAACAAACAGTGTCATGAAGACCAAGGAACACAGCAGACAGGTCATGAAGTAAGTTGTGGAGAATTTAAAGCAGGGTTAGGTTGTACAACAATGTCTCCAGCTTTGAACATCTCACTGAACTCTGTTAAATCCATCATCTGAATATGGAAACAGGATGGACCAACTGCAGACCTACCAAGAAATGGATGTCCACCTAAACTGATAAGTAAGGACAGCATTAATCACAGAAGTAGCCAAAAGACCAATGGCAAATCTAGAGGTGCTGCAAAGATTCACAACTAAAGAGGGACAATCTCTACAAATCTTATCTGTATCAAAATGTGGCAGAAAGAAAGCCACATTTCAAACAAAGTCATGACAAATTCTGCTTGCAGTTTGCCACAAGTCGTGTAGGAGAGTCAACAAACATGTGGAAGGAGGTCCTCTATTAGATGACAGCAGAAAATGTTGGCCTTCTGTGTCTAAAAACCAACATTGCACATCACTCTGAAAGCACCATCTCCACCATGTTTGTGCCAGCAATATGCTGTGGGGATGCTTTTCTTCAGCAGGCACAGGGAAGTTGGTCAGAGCTGATGGGAAGATGGATGGAGCTAAATCCAGGACAATCCTGGAAGAAAACCTTTTAGAAGCTGCAAAGAACTTGAGACTGGGTTGAGGGTTCACCTTCCAGCAGGGCAATTATCCTAAACATCTAGCTAGAGATAGAATGGATGGATCAGGTCAAAGCATATTCATGTTTTAGAATGGCCTGGTCAAAGTCCAGACCTAAATCCAGCTGAGAATCTGTGGCAAGACTTGAAAACTCATGTTCACAGATGTTCTCTATCCAATTGGACTGATCTTAAGATATTACACATTAGAGAATGGGCAAAGTTTTAGTCAAGTCAAGTTTATTTATATAGCGCTTTTCAGCGACAAGGCACTCAAGGCTGCTGTGCACAAGGAAAAACATTACAACGATACAGAAAACCAAACAACAAATATAATAATAATAAAAAAAACAAAAAAATAAAAAAAACTAAAAAATAAAAAATAACAAAATAAAAATAAAATGAAAGGAAAATTGGACTGAAAACATAGCTAATAATGTTTAGATAACACATTTAAAGGCCACTCTAATCTTGCTTTAAATCTTGATTTAAAGCAACTTAGGGTTTCGGCACTTTTACAGTTTTCTGGGAGTTTATTCCAGATTAGTGGAGCATAAGAACGAAAACCTGCTTCTCCATGTTTGGTTCTGGTTCTGGTTCTGCAGAGTAGATTTGAGCCAGAAGACCTGAGAGGTCTGGGTGGTTGATCCACTGACAACAAGTCTGTAATGTATTTTGGTGCTAAGCCATTCAGNTGCTTCTCCCTGTTTGGTTCTGGTTCTGGTTCTGCAGAGTAGATTTGAGCCAGAAGACCTGAGAGGTCTGGGTGGTTGATCCACTGACAACAAGTCTGTAATGTATTTTGGTGCTAAGCCATTCGGAGATTTATAGACTAAGAGAAGTATTTTAAAGTCTATTCTCTGAGCTACAGGGAGCCAGTATAGGGACTTTAGAACCAGGCTGATGTTCTCCACTTCCTTAGTTCTAGTGAGGACGCGGGCAGCAGTGTTCTGGATCAACTGCAGCTGTCTGATCCAATATTTAGGCAGACCTGTGAAGACATCGTTGCAGTAATCAATTCTACTAAAGATGAACGCATTAATTAGTTTTTCAAGGTCCTGCTGAGACATTCGTCCTTTAATCTTGGAGATGTTCTTTAGGTGATAGAAGGCCGACCTAGTTACTACCTTTATGTGCCTCTGAAGGTTCAGGTCTGAGTCAATCACTACACCCAGGTATCGAGCCTGACTGGTGGTTTCTAGCTGTATTAACTGAAGCTGTGTGCTAACTTTTAAACGCTCTTCCTTTGGTCCAAAGATTATTACTTCAGTTTTGTTTTGATTCAGCTGAAGAAGATTTTGGCCCATCCATGCATTGATTTCTTTTAAGCATTTACCCAGCGCTTGAATGGGTTCTTGGTCACCTGGTGACATCATAATGTATAGCGGGGTGTCGTCTGCATAGTTATGATAACTTACGTTGTTGTTTATTAAAATCTGAGTTAGGGGGAGCATGTAGATATTGAATAGGAGGGGCCCTAAGATGGACCCTTGGGGAATGCCGCATGTGATTCTTGTGGTCTCTGATGTAAAGTTACCTACTGACACAAAAAAGTCCCTGTCCATCAAGTAGGATTTAAACCAGTTGAGTGCTGTATCAGAAAGGCCGACCCAGTTTTCCAGGCGCTCTAATAAAATGGAGTGATCAACGGTTGCTTCACTAAGGTCCAATAATACCAGCACTGTGGTTCTTCCACAGTCTGCATTTATACGGATGTCATTGAACACCTTGACAAGAGCTGTCTCTGTACTGTGGTGAGCAGGAAGCC